TTAAAATTTTATTTTTAGTATAAATACCATGAGACAATTGTGCTTAGCTGGACACTTTTGGAGTTGACTTTCCTTCTCTGGTTAAATTCCAGATTTTGTGGTGTTAATGCATATGATGTGACTTGCAGCTGTGAAACAAATATTTATTTTTTTTAGATTTTTAAATGCAGTGACAAAAAAAATTCAAGCTATAATAAAAGTCTTGAATGAAAACCTTTGTTGACTGATGTGTATGGATGCTTGCATCATGCATCAATGATGCATTCAGTGAAAAGGTAACATCTGTGCAGTAAATAAAGAGTGCCAAGATCTCACTTTAAAAGTAGAGAAATTGATTCATTAGAATAAATTGTTGAACTTGTCTTTAGATGTAAATATACAAAGCAGTCAGTGCAGTTAAGAGCATTCTTTCCATAATGTTTCCATAATGTTTTTACAGCATTCAGATGCAATGTAACCTCTAATAATTTCTTTACGTGCAGCCTTTATATCTCATCTTTTCCAACATGTGTTACTTGGCTGGCAAGTTCTCCCTGTTGTGAGATATGAGAATCTGACAAATGCTGCAGCAGCTTAAACTTATTTTGCATGGGAGAAAGGAGGAAAAAAAAGTACATTATGCCTTCATTTTACCAGGTAATATTAAAATTTCTGAGATTATAGAACACCAAACTTGTGAAGGCAAGTACTTGGAAATTAGGAAGTGACAAACATCAAGCTGTCTCGTTTTCCCTTGTGTGTCATTACATGAGTAAATGCTGTTTCTTTCCCTGATGTCCATGGGACCCTTCCTTCACTCAGTGCACCCAATTGACATGTGCATTATTTTTCTGTTCAGTTGTGCAGGTCTAATTCTAATGCATATCATGTAAATCCAGCACTATTTGGTTTTTATTTCCCTAAAAGCCATTCTGCCATATTGAATTCTTTATCTTATTAATGTGAGAGATAAGCAATAGCCTTATTCTGTAGATAAGATAGGAGGAGACAGAATTCAATCCAATTATTGAATATTTATTTATTAACATTTTTGACCACTTGCTTAATTGAGGATGTGCTAGAAAACTTTAGATGTCTTTCATCTTGGAATTGTAGATAACGTTTACTAAAACTGCTATGACAATTAGTACATATTTCTCCAGTATCAGAAAGACAGATGTGCTCTCGTAGAATTTTAGTGGAATTGGTAAGCCTCGTGGGGTTGAATGACTGGTTAAATTTCACATGGAAGGAAGCCCACTGACAGAGCAGGATGAGAGTCATGTTCCTTGAGACCGCACTAACCTGAAACATTTTTGCACTTTCAGCCTTGATTCTATCCACCTCTGCAAGAAATGGAGTTGGATCCTACAGAACAGGATAATAGCTGCTAAACACTCCTGATTGTGGTGCAGGTGTTAGCTCGTTCAGTGCAGTGAAACAGTGCTCTGTTACCAAACATTACGCAAGGTAAAAGACTTTATGCAGTACTAGAACAGTGACTAGTCATTATGTTACTTCTGTCACACAGGTGTTGGTACTTACCATGTCCTTAGGTCTGCTAATGGTTGTAACAGCTGTGTGAAGGACTTAAGCCAAAGCTAAATGCTTACTTGTTTGTTCTGGTTAGAAGAAGTAGGTGGCTGAAGTGTTTTCTCTCCTACTTGGAGAGAAGTGGCACTTTGCCTACAGTATTGAGTGCTGTGTGTCATGTGCGGAAGAAGAAAAAAACAACTTCCTTCTTAGATAAAATTGTTATGGTGTTATGGAAGAAAGATGCTTTCCTCCTTCTCACATCTCCAATTAATCAGGGAAAACCTGTAGGCTTTCAAAAGGATTGTGTGAACAACAGGGGGAAAGTAGTATTTTGGGTTCCAGTGGGAATGTTTTACAATAATTAAAAATCTCTAAAACAGTTTTGATAACAGGATTAGTATTCTGATGAGCATTCGTGTTGGAGAATGGTTAGCTGTATCCATCTCCATTATGTTTACTGAAGGAAGGTTTGTTTTTGTCATAGCAGTGGATTTACTGCACCTGTCACAGGTACAGAACTGCAGGTTGCAGCTGTGTGACAGAACTGTATGGACTGTTTTATTTGCCTGTATCACAGAAACTTGCCCATTGTTTTCCAGGGGGAAATCGAAGGGTTGTAGCTCTGAGCCAGTACAACTATTAAAACCGAGCTCCACTTAAGCACTTTGTAGGAGTTGCTACTATTAAGATTGTTACTAATGTAGAACACCAAGGTGTAGAATTCCCCTCAAGGGTCTTATGCTCCTATGAAGGATTCCAGTTCATTGCACTGCTCTGCGTTGCAATAAACTTGGTTTATCCAGGAATGAATGCAGCGTAGTACCATCAGATACAGATAGCTGTAAAACAAAGCTCGTTATTTAAAGGCATATCATTTTCTGCAGTTAGGATGAATACAGATTGAAAGCTTTCCTTTACATGGTGAGCACCACATGGATGGCTCTGGCTTTCTCCTTGTGCAACCACTATGTACTGTAGAGCTGTCATTGCTCTTTTGTTGGTGGAAGAACAAAATATTTGTCTCCTGACAAGGGATGGTCTCCACTGCTTACCAGTGGGTGTTTCTCAGTTGCTGGCTCAGTCTGGAGTGGGGTGAATCAGGCTGCTGTCTTGTCTTTGAACGTGCTGTTCAGTTTTGTGTTAGTCAGATTTGAAGAAACAAGCTTTAAGAACCTTCCCTAGACCTCTAAAGGCCTGAAACCAGATCAACTGGATAACAGTGTCCTGTAACGCTATATGCTGGAGCCTCCAAGAAACCCACCCATGTTTTCCTGGGCTACGTAGACTTATGGACTGATAAAGTAACACTAGCAGCCGTAATTGTACATGGCCTGTCTTTTGGCTTTGAGATGCTGTATGGGTCTTCCGCAAATCTGCAGAATACTGTGTTGTTGATGTCAGGAATGTAAGCTGGGATTAAAAGCTTTCAATTTTTTTTTTGTTAATTTTTTTCACCAGTTTCAGGAGCATTAAGAAAGAAAATGAAGGCTTTGAACCTTGTCAGGGATGTGAACCACAGGGCCGATAACGTTTGATGCAGTTGGGTGTGTGCAGCACTCGGGTAACGTTATTTTCTGCAAGGCTTGAGGTGGGGCTGGCCTGCGGGCACAGCTGCTCTCTGTGGGTACTCGTGGTGTGCCTGGTTATGTGGGACTGCCAGTGAGAGGGGAAAATGCAGTGTGAGGCAGAAGGATTTGACTTCAGAGGCTTTTGCAGAGACTAGAAGTGAGCTTCCTTCCCTCTTGAGCGGATAGCCCAGCCTCGCTGTTAGAGCAGAGGTAGTGGGCTGTACTAAACCCCAGCCTCCTACAGAAACAATTAGCCAGATGGTAGGGCTGAAACTCATTTGTTTGTGCCTTAATTCCGCACAGAGGCTACCTAGGTGTGCTTCCTAACCAGTGCTTGTGTACTCTGGGAGCTGCACGCTGCGGCTCAGCGAGCCTGGGGGTGCCCGCCAGGTGCGGAGCTGCCAGCGCACAGCGAGGTGCGGGGCTTCAGCTGGCGGTAGGTACAGGGAGAGGGGAGGGGACGCGGCCGTACCTGTGCCCGAGGGAGGAGCTGGAAGGGACTGCCGCTGCTCGCGGGAGCCTTCAAACACCTCGCTGGCGAGAAGCCTCCCGCTAGGTAGCCTCGTGTCCCTGGGCTGCCCTGGATGCCTCGCTTTCAGGAGCCTGTATTTAAACGCGGCACGGCTGGGCGTGTTGGGGGCGGCTCTTGGGGCCGCTTCTCGCTCGCGACGCTGGGCGGTCCGTCCCGCCGGGTCCCGGGGCCGCTGCGGAGGCGGTAAGTGGGGAGCGCGTTGCTGGGAGCGGAGCGCAGTTGTGGGTGACTCGGGGGCTCCTCCTCAGCCGCCCACGAAGCGTGGGAGAGCCGCTTTCCTTCCGCCGCAGTTCGTGCTTGCCGCTCTGCTGCCTCCAGGTGTTAGGAGTAGTAGACACGGGATAAAACAACAGTGAGAGATATCTGTATGTCGTTGCAGAGCTCCTTAGTTGTGGCTTTCAGGAATATCTGTGGCTTAAGGGCAGTTTGTCGCTACGCCGTGCTGCGCGGCGCTGAGGCTGCAGGGGTGAGGAGTGAAGGAACTGCGGTGCCGTGTCACAGAGCCGTGTTTGGTGTGTGCTAAGAAATTCAGTCCTTGAAAGATGTGTGGTCGTGTACGTGCACCCACCGCCCCGAGGCCGAGAAAGCCGTGCTCAGGGTGCGCCCTGCAGTGTTGGCTCTGTCGCTACCAGTCGGTGTCACACAGCGCCCAGCAGCGCTGGGGAACTGCTGCTGGGTTGCCCCGGGCTGAAAGCTGTCTCCATGTGTAAGGGTCCAGGTGCTTCAGGGAGAGCGCAAAGGAAGATGATTTCTGTCTGGGAACCCGCCTGTCCCACCCGAATTCCTCCCATTCCTCTTGCAGGGCACTTTGAGCTCCCACAGTGTCGTGTGGCAGTAAGTTGCACAATTTCAGTGTGTGTGACGGTTTGCTTCGTTTTATCTGCCTTCCTGTGTGTTCACTCGCTGCTCCTCGGGCCTTGCATCCTGACTGAGCTCTGTGTGCGCCATCATACAGTACTTTTCCCAGGAAGTCCTGGCAGCCCAAGTGTCATCTTAAAAATGCTAATTACAGGGTGACTATTTTAAGGGTACTGTTCTGACTCTCGCGTCGCTGTAGCTAGTTCAGAACCCCTTACTGTGTAGGAACAAGCAGGACTGCTCAGTGAATGCATCTAAATGCGGCATAGGGTTTAAAAGAAGAGAAGTAGTTTTCTGAAGGACAGAACTGCATTGTGGTTCCAGATGTTGCTGTACCAGTGCAGCTTTACTGGGGCTTTGCTCCCATAGGTGACGGACAGAAAAGGCAATTTATTGTGTAGTACCCAGGATCTCGCTTAAAACTTTGTAGGGCGTTTTTTTGTTAAGTTCTTAGGAGCTAACTAAAAATTAACAGAAACAAAAAATCAAATGATGATTTTAATAGACTTTAGAACAGAGTGTACGAGTATAAAACACTGGTTTTGTATTTCAAAAGTTGCAGGAAGATAGCCGGTCATTTTAAACAGTCTTCTACAAAACATATGCCAGTAGATTACATAAAAGACACTATATACAATATAAAAGAGCAGAAAACAATCCTCACTGTAAAAATAATTTAAAACAAAGTATTTCAATTTAAAATATCTCCTATAGCACAAACTAATACATTGTAACATGCAAGTGAAAACTAAACATATTGCATTCTTTAGTGTAGCCAAATAAGAGCTGTATTAAATTTGGACAATGAGACAACATGCCAACATTTTTAGATGAATGCAGAAAGCTGTTCTTAAATATTCATTAAGTGATGTATCTTATCTTCAAAGAACAGCTACTATACATCTCCAAAATGTAATAAATATTAAAGCAAAGTATCTGAATAATCTACATCGTAGAGTTCATTTGGGCCAATGTTGAAAAAGTGGTTTATATAAAAAATGCTGATTCACTTACTACTGCACTGTGCAATTTTACAAAATAATTCTAAAGGCTTGGAAACAATCCGCACTTGAAAATTTGCAACATCCAGTTTTAAGGCAGCTTAGCACTTTAATACGCAATGTGATCATTGGAATAGCTGCTTTGCTTCTAAGATGCATGTTGGAGCTAGCAGGTGGAAAGTCACATTTCCCATCTGGGACATCACTCAAAGTAGCACATCTCCAGGTGAGGTGATTAACCTGTATTTCACCCACACAGCAGTAGCAGCAGAGGCTGTTGCTCTCTGAGCAAGTTTCTTCTGATTCTGTTACCTCTAAGTATTACAGGAAGAGATTTGGTTTCCGTGCCTTCTCACGTGCTGGTAGGAACGTTATTGTGTGCGCAGCCAAGCCTCTGTGTTGCAGCCTTGGCAAGTGATCAAATCCTATTGTTAATGCAAGCTGCACTATATTTGACTTTTTGTATACAACATGAAAAACTTCGACCATCGGGAATCCATTTTGTTTAAAATACTGGTGTTCCAGTATTATAATTGCTAAGGAGCCAATGTCAACATAGCTTCATGTCCACAGGAAGTATTAAGCTCAGTAACTGAAGCATTTTCACAGCACTTCTTATCAGTCTAAAAAAGATTAGGAGTTTTCAAGTGCTTACTGTCTTGTTTCCATTTTTAACTATCTACTCACATTTAAGTATGTCTCAAACATACAAACTAACTGTTAAAGCAAAAAATTAGCTGCCAGTCGGTCTTAGAAAATGCCAGTGTTTAATGATAGGCTATGCGAGAACGAAAGGTTTAGCAGAAGCGTAAGAAGTTTTAAATAAACCAAACTGTTACAAAGCAAGAAGTGTGATAATACCATTCTTTGGTCTAAATTAGCTGTTCCCTTTATATTAGTTTAACATTCCAATGGCTTTTTCAAAACTGTTTAAAAATAATATAAGCTGAAATTTATTATGCAAAATAGGTATTATATACATGGATGTCTGATCAGACAGATGACTTAAAAGTGAACATAGTAATAATTGCTTAGATATTCCTAGTACCTTAAAAAAAAAAAGTTAGTGTTGAGTGTGCAGTAAGAGAATTTTATTGAAAAAGGTAAAAAACTAAGCATGAAAATCTGTTTCAGTTGTTTATAAACACCACATCCTTATGGTTTCCTTGCTCTAAATCCAGACGTAAACATTCGTCCTGACATGCCAAAGCTCCTAATGCTGGTGGAAAATTCCTGTAACCAGTGATCGCTTCACAACTTGTTGCTTGTTGGATGATTGTTCCCTGCAGCTTCATTTGTGTAAGCTGATTCATCAGCTGCATCTTGTTCAACCCCATCTTCCCCAAATGCAGCTTCGTCTTCCCTTTCCGCAGCATCCTCATCCTCTATGCCATTGTAAAACTCTTCAATCTCGCTCTCGTCCTCCACATCTAAGCTCTGACTGCGACACGAGCCGCTTTCGCTACTACTCCCACAAGAGCTAGAAGATATCATATCGTCTTCAGAATCTGAGTATACCTCAGCTCCGTGGAAAATATAGCGATTTGGTGGTAAAAATAGATACTGAGTACCTGAAACAGAATTTAACAAGTCAGTATCACGGAATGGTTGAGGTAGAAGGGAGCTCTGGAGGTCATCTGGTCCAATGCCCCTGCTCAAGCAGGGGCAACTAGAGCAGGTTGCCCAGCAGAAACAAAAAGCTGAAATTATTCAGACAAGGTCTTGCAGACTTCTGGTTAAAAAGTACCTGCACAGATGTATTTTCAAAAGTTAAGCTAACATGACAAATTACATTAACAATACACTGAAGTATAAATTTTTAGGAACAGCATTTAACAAATGCTTTACTGGGAAGCTAAATGTTCCTCTCCTCCCTCCCTTTGATGTAGTGTTTAAACTCTAATGTTTAGCAGAACTTTCTGTTGGTAAACGTTGTATTCACAGCAAGAATGCAATTGGTTGTACCACAGAATTGGAACCCACCACACAGAATTCAAACAGGCTTTGCTTTAGGGAAATTGTAACTTCCTGGTTCTCCATCCTCACTGACTTTCTTAGTGCAATTACTTGTTCTGTCAATTAACAGACTGCACACGGGAAGGCTTCTTTGGAAAGTCTGATGTTTCCTTTGGAATGTGCCTGGCTCCAACTTTGTGATTTGCTTTTCAAATCTTGTTGTGACTTTGTCCCTTAGTCCTCCAAAATAGCTGTCAGATTGGAACGTGGTGCTTTAAAATCCCAAGATCAGTACAATTTTACTGGAAATGCATTAGAAAATGTAAGAAAGGTGGGTTTATTTTTGATACTTAGCTTCTGCCTCTTGAACTCTGATCTTTCTAGGGAGCTTGTAATCACAGAGTCATAGAATGGCCTGGGTTGAAAAGGACCACAATGATCATCAAGTTTCAACCCCCTTCACCAACCACCAGGCCAGGCTGCCCAGAGCCACATCCAGCCTGGCCTTGAATGCCTCCAGGGATGGGGCATCCACAACCTCCTTGGGCAACCTGTTCCAGTGCATCATCACCCTCTGGGTGAAAAACTTCCTCCAGTTATCTAACCTAAACCTCCCCTGTCTCAGTTTAAAACCATTCAGTAATCACTGATTATAAAATCTATTCTGAATTACAGTTTTCCTATTGGCTTCTCCAAAAGAAATAAACTCTACATTGATAATAGAAAACATAGATACTTTTCTGAGCAGAAATAACCACCAAAAAAACACTGATTCCCTCAAGGGCAACTTATTTATTGCTTCAAAGTAAGTCTAGAATAAACACTTAAGTGCAAGAGAATGAAATAAGTTAACACTTACCATCCAGCCTTTTGCTAATCTGTTCTTTTGCAGATCTATTTACCCAGCACTTCTTCACTATTTCATTTTTTTCTTTGCTTTCTCCATTGTTGGTTCCATTTTCCTTCATTGTTTCAGAGTTCATTGATTCACTAGTAGTATTTTCAAGGTTTTCAGAGGATGCCTGTGTGTCTTGAAGCTTTTCCTCTGTGCAGGTCCCTTTAGTTTCAGAGGCAGGATCACAGTTTTCTATCTTACATTCAGCTGCGTGTTCTGAGGGCACCACTGAAGTATCTGGTGGAGTCATTTGTTCTGGTGAACCAGAGTCTTCAGAAATGTTCAAGGGTGTAGGTGGTAGCTCAGATGAGTGCATTTCGAGCTCTTTGTGCATTCGTGGAGGCTTTTCTGTTATTTCTGAAAGCTTTACTGAGTTGTAGCAAAGTTTTGAATATTCACTACCTAGCCTTTGACATAATTCATTAATAATAACGTCACAGTCTCCAAGAAGCTCCACGTCAAAGTGTAGATGAGGCAGAGGTTCCCTATTAATTAAGATCTGAGGCACTTCATGGGGGATGGAACCTAAACATAGAAAAGACAGTTTGAAGACAGGCATTTTTGGTTTTACTTTCTACCAAAGATCTACCAAAAAAACTTCATTTCTGAAGTTCTGAAGATCTTCAGTCAGATCTGGAATACAAGTAATTCTTAAATGTAACAAAGCTGAAGTGGCAGTGTGAGGTGCCATGCCTATGTAGTCTATCTAAATTTCCCTGTTTCTTGCAGTAAAAGGTGTTTTTCTATAGAAGTGCTGGATGTGGCACTGTCCCCAGTGAGCAGCAGGTGGTTGGTGCAGGCCCTTCTCAGGCTTGCATGTTAAGAGTACAAGTTAAGTAGTGCGCTTAATAGGCAAATAATTAACCTGCAATTGTATCTTCTCAGCCCTCCTGAAGGACTTATTTAGTAATAGCACAGATGGTTTTTCTTACCACCTTTAAGAACTAAGGATCCAAATGGTCGTACACTATATAATGCCCACTCTGTATCATTTAGGGTAAAGTACTGACTTCAATTACTGCTCAGACACCTGATGTAGCTGTTCCATTTTTTTATACTACATTTATCTTTTAAAAGACAATTACTTTCTAAATCTTACAATTCCAAAAGCATATTATGAACAGGGAGATAAATAAATTAATCTCAGAACAAAGGTATTTAACTTTTAGCTAAATAGTTCTCTGGATTATAAATTCATAACTTTGAGATCTCTACTCTGCCTTGGGCATAGAAAAAGCACTCAGAACTGGAACTCTTAACTGAGAATTTTAATTTCATCTTATTTTTTTGGAAAGAAGAAATTTCCAGTCAGTCACTTACTTGGAATCAATGCTACTGGTCTTACTTTCAGTGAAGACCCAATGACAATAAGGAGATCAACTTCATTTTTGTCATACTTCATGGCACGATGGAACTGCTCAGGTAAGTTCTCTCCAAAGAACACTATGTCAGGCTTCATGATAGCAAGTGGTTCATCAGGCGGACAGCGAGGACATCTAGGAACAACCTGCAGTAGAACAGCTTATATCACTACTGTGGCTGCAACCTTGAAAGCCTCAGATTTTAGCAATTTACAGTGATTTACTCTGGCATAAGACGAGTTTCAGTGATATTTTCTCATTTATTTTTTCTGTGGATGTACATCTGAATACACTTCTTACTCTAGTCTGCACATAGAACTACAGCAGGAATGAAGGAGTCCTTTTACATCAAATTGGAGAAACAATGAAAGTCTACACCTCTGTTCTTAGCTAACAACTAAGCCAGCGTCTAGATGTCACACTCAACACTGATGCGTAATCACCTCCTAGTGGAGAGGAATATAATTTTTTTGTTTAATCAGAACAAAAGCTTTGGTTTTGCTATCAGTTTCCATTGCACAATCTGCTATACACCCCTTCCTAATCAAACAGTATGTTATAGAGCATTACCTCTCTACTTTCTCTTGGTTGCATAAAGCAACGTGGCACTGTAGCAGGTGTCCAGCAAAAAGCATACAGAATAAGAACATGGAAAGATCTTTTGTCTGGTCTCCATTTTAAAATTTCCAATTCCTTCAATAACAGAGCAAAAGTAGATGCTAGTTATGTTTGTGGAGAAGCAGAGTCCTTTTCCTTGTGAAACCAAGGGTTTTCTGACATCTTTCAATTTAATACTTATTCAGGGAGAAGAAAAGTAAACAGGTGAGTGATGCAAGTAGGACTTTACTACTGAGCAAATTATTTTCTCAGCTGTAGTCTCTAAAGTAAAATACCCCAGAATAAATCTAAGGAGCTAAACATAGCTGCAGTCCTTTGGCAGTAATGACAAGCAAACTAGTGCTTTGTAAAAGCATGGAGTGATGTATGAAACCTATTATTATAGAAAATGTAGGAAAACAAAAAGACACAAATATACAACTGCTGGTTTTTGATGGCTGTTGTAGGACCAAAGACAGTGCTTTCCCTAGGAGAAAGCATCACAAGTAAAAGGCTGCTTCTGTGGTGTGAAAGAACCTTTTCCAAAATTCAAGTCTTTGAATAATCTAATCTTTCTTTGAAGAAATCTCCCTACTAGAAATGTGTAAGAAGTGATACAGCACAAGAACTAGAAAGTGGTATAGAGAGAATCTTCATTGCTTTATCCAATGTAAGGAGTTAACAGCCCAAACAACTAAATAATCCCCCAAAACAGAGTAGGGGGGAAAAAAAAACAAAAACATGAGATTTTTTTCCTTGGATCTTTACATATTAGAAAGAAAGCTAACAACACACCAACATCTGGAACTTTTCTGATGCTTTTTACCCTGCGACTTCTTCTGCCGAAGGAAGTAATGCATGTGCATTTTAAATTGGAAGATCTAGGAACTAAATTTGTTTGTTCTGTATTAGGAAGGAAGCAAAGATCTCTAACTTCTGACTTAGTTTAAAAAGACACTGATAGTAACTGTTTCCATCATCTCCTACAGGAAGTCCAATAATGTTATTTAATGAATCTGTGTACAGCAACTGCTGTCCCTGTTCAAATCACATGAGTTACTGTAAAGGGGCCCACAAATAGGTTTCAGCACTACACTACTCACCAGCTCCTTTGCTAATCCTCAGAAAGGTCATCAGTAAGGGGAAGATCTATTCCAAGAGCTGAAATTGATACCAAGAAGTTAAGGCTAGATAGCTGGCCGCTCAGCTGCCTAGGATCCTCCCTCCCTCCAGGGGCAGCATGGCCCAGAACCAGACCACCTCTGCTGCTGTATTTGTCTCATGAAAGAGAACGGGAATTCCTCATTAGCTGTGGATGTATCAAAAACAAGATCAGTAAAGATTGTGTCTGTTTAAGAACATCCAAGAACAGGTGCATGTTTCTGTGGGCCTTTCATCCTAAATCTGAGATACCTTTGCTGTTTCTTGAAACTGCTTAAAATAGTCAAAAGCACAGTGAAATTGGCGTTTTTGAAAATAATCAAAAATAGTTTTACTCAGAAGTGTTTTTTTTCTGTGGGATTTATAGATATTGCCTCATCTTGTGTAGCAGGATGGCTGCGTACAGCAACCTAGAAATGGAATCATGCTGCAGGGAAGTAGCATGCTACCTTGGAACTGGCAAAAAAAAAAAAAAAAAGCAGCAGTGAGGAACTGGTGGTTTTCTAAGTATCCATCTCTGATATGTTGAAAGGAAATCCTGCCAGGAAGATGCTAAATAGACTTATTTTGTTGTGAAGCGCTTCAAACAGCCAAAGGAAGGACCAGAGCAAAGGAAAGCTAATCTTTTCTATGGAAAACAGGACCTGGGGTCATATATAACTGAACTTCCAAGCAGTGGAGGACTGCAGAGAATACAAACAGCTTCCTATTGGGACTAACTCCCCAAACCATTTCTAGAAAACAGAGCTGTTGGAATTTGGCAGTGTTTTATTTCATAAGTACAGAACCAGTTTCTTTTGATAACTAAGAAATTAATTCATTCTGGAGAACGACAGAAAAATCAACTGTGTCGGGCTGGTTTTTGAAGCAGAGATAATGATGGTAAATTGAACTTTTTTTTTGAAGGATACTCTTTTTTCCAATGGTGCTATTTCTTGTTATATGTATGTAGGTACACACACACATATTCAGCAATAACTGTATTCATTTTATGAAATAACAGTAACAGTATTACAGCTATGGCCTACTCTGGAAAAATATACCTGTCTAAAGTCTTGGAACTGCTGAGTCATGGCCTGAACCACTGATTGAGCACCTGGGGAAAGGACCTGGTCAGCCCTAGGAGCACAGGTGAAGGCAATTCAGCTGTGTGACTGTAAGGGTGGAGCCTGGCTGCACCTCTCTTAGACCTCATTTAAGGGCTGACTGCCACCAAGGAAGATCTTTCTGGAGATCCCTCCTCTGTGGGGTCTTCTTGTGAGCCTGAATCTCCGGATACAGGTGAGCATCCTCTTTTTTAACAACTTCTCATTGCGCATATCTGGGACTCGTGCTGCTGCCTTTACAGTACTGTCAGATTAGGACTCATAGATTGAATGTTTCTTCCTTGAGCAAAAATCTCCTTGTTCAGAAGTACTGTTGTGCAGGCTTCTCTTCCCATCCCTATGCTCCCACAACTGGCCATGAGCAGGGACGTGCCGTTAGGGCACAAGTTCAGTTCAGCATATAAAAGTGCACTGATTGAAGTGTTGTTAGAAGGAATACTTCCACTAACAGTCAAAATAGAAAACTACACCATGCTTAGGAACAGCTGTTGAGAAGGAAAAGAAAAACAAAGTCCAAATCCCAACTAACTTGCTTTGAGATAAAGAAGCAGCAAACATCTCTAAGGTAAAATTCTCAAGAATAACGTGACGAGTAGAACAGACCTCATCGGTATTCAGTATTGCAAAGCATCAGTCTTCTGATATTCACACTTCATAAAACTTGAAGTCAAACATAGAATTCAGCGAAAGCCTTTCATAAGTTATTTCAGATGTAATGCTTCAAAGATGTTTCTCTGTGTTTCTCATTTAAAATTATAACTGTGGAGTCAAGTATTTATTGAAAATATGCAAATACAGAAAAACAGTGCCTTTTCATTTATATAGACAACCTTCTTATCAGACAATTGTCTCTGTCAAAAGACAGAGAAGAAAAGCAAAGCGGGTCCGATTAAGGCAAAGGTTATTCTACTCTGATGGAGCAGAACTAACTCTTGGCTTGGTCATGAAGCACTTCACATCCAAATGTGAGGAATTCAGAACATAAAATAGTTTGGCAGTTCTTGAAAGTGTTAATCAGACATCTCACTTATCCTACATGCTCAGAGGCTGCTTTATATTAGCATTTTCTCCATGCATCATCTACAATTTCAACATTTTGAATGCAGGTAAATGCTTTAAGAGGAACTGATGTTATAAATAGCTAGAAATACTTTCTCAGTGTGACTGAGAGCTCAGATTACCCTATAAATCCAACTCTCTACTTACCACGTTAACTTCTGCTCTTCTGAGAATGGCCATTAGAAACAAACTCCAATGGTTTTGGTTCTACTTCTTTCACTTTACCTTATTTTTACAGTGTAGTAACTGAGTGTGTTTTTTAAATACAAGAGCAAATACTAAAGTACAGATAGGCATGTAGGAAACAGGACGGGTTTTTTTTTAGTCATACGCCTTTTAAAAATACAGATCTTTTAAGCAATGCTTTGTTTTGTTATCAAGTTGCTTATTAGAAAGCTGCAGTGATCTAAAGCAAGTAAGTTTTTACCTGATTGAAAATATCTCCTCGAACAACTTCACAATCAACTCTGTATTTACAGATCAGGCAGGAAGCTGTTGCAAAGGAACCTGGGGGGGGGGAGGGAAATATGACAGAAGTGAGGACTTTCAGATTTGGTCTTTTTGCCAAAGATGTTATGAAACAAAGACTGTTAAATTGCAGTGCTAACAACAACAACAACAAAAAAAAAACAACAACAAACAAACAAACAAAAAAATCCCACCAAAACAAACAACCAAATACCAAAAAACAAAAACAAAAACAAAAAGAAGTCCTTAAAAAGTAATTTAAAATTAAGATTCCTGTGGTACTAAAGGTAGTTGTAGATGTTAGCCAGGACAAATTCTGTTTTAGGAGGAGGATATATTGCATGTAAGAAAACACAAAATACGTTGATTCATTCCCCTACTTTCCATCTTTATAGGATTAATAGAACTGGTGTCAGCCCTGCCTCATCAGCAGCAGGACATCTCAACTGGTTTTGAAAGAGCAAAGTAACTATGAAAATGCATTAACTAGGACTTCATTATAGGCAACTAAGTCACAGTATTGTTCCTCTCGGTAACTGTCAACAGTTAGAGCTATATTGTTTCCATTAGAGTAGTGCTCTGAACTTAGTATTCAGCTTGGCTACTATGTTCATTGTTTGGCAACATTGGTAAAACTGCTCTCCGGAGCTCTTGCGGCCCTGTTCTAACGCAGCTGAGGTGATGCCTGACATCTGGTAGAGCACTCCTATCTTCATTGCCTGAAGGCAAACCTTACCTGCTGGCTAACACATGTTAACAGAGGGAAATTGTGGCAAACGAGAGTGGCCTTTTGGTGCACATGTTTACCCGTCAAGGCCTTGTACCCGTGCAAGGTGTACTGCTAGAAGTTGACAGAACGTTGAAGAATGAAGTAAGGAATTGTCAGATTTGTCCTAGCTATGAAACAAGGCTTAAAAAAATAATCAGGCGATCTCTGACCTTGCAGTGGAATGTGTCAAGCTCTCACAGCTAGACAACAAAGAGATACCCTTAACTAACTACTTTCAGTTTCTCTTTAACCACTACCATTAGACAATTAGCTAGCATTAAGCAGCATAACTGTAGTTACGCTAACTTTAACTTCCAAAAGCCTCAGAATCCAATAAAAGAATATTTTTTTTATTTGAAAATCAACTGATACAGCATACACACTAAAGCTGGCCTGAAATCTAATTACTGCATCATGTAACTGAAAAAAACACCAACATTTGTGTGTCGGTGATGTGCAAAAACACAGCTAAGTAAGAATTTTGTGATAAGTTCGTAATTAGGAATGACATCCAAAAGAAAATGCATTATATGCTGAATACATATGAAAACTAGAGGGAGATTTCAGTTATTCTGTGGGGTGGATTCTATTCTGTTCTCTTTGGTTACTATGACAGAGCACTGCATTTACTCTAAATGAAGAAAATTGACAAATCCACCATTGAGTTAAGCTCTATAGATGAGGAAGATGAGTCTGATCCCTGGAAAAGTGGAACTCTGTAAGAAAGTTGTAATCAATGGGCAGATGGCCACCTCTGGTACCAGGCTGGCATTGCCACACAGCTAACAGCTAAGGCAAAGAAGAACAGGGTACCACTTCATCCAAAGATCACTTGGGATATCGTGCTAACAGTACAGCTTCAACAGTGGCTCTGTTACAGGCAAAAGGAACCACTGCTTCCCTAGCTCCGCGTTAGGATTGTTGGAAAGGCATCTGGTGATACTTTCTTCTTTCCTGATATTTGTTCTTGCCCCTTGCTAGGACAGCAGCCCTCTATATTCTTAGTGGGAGATCAAGGGTTATTGCTCTTAACTCAGAGGTTAACTTCTTCAGTTCCAGGTCTACTGCTGACACCAGCATTAAGTCAGGTCTCACAAACATGCTAACGTTGCTTTTAAGCAATTTTTTTGATAAAAGAAATAGACTTTAGAACTCTAAGCCTTCTTTCCTTAAAAACATATCCTTGACCTTTTAACTTGACATTTGTGAGTCTTTGGAAATGGTAAGCACATCAAACAATTACCTAGGAGGTTCCATTTAATTTGGTATAATAATTAGAGAATGTCTGACACTGAAACGTAACAAAATGATTTCATTTCAACAACTGGGAATCTACAATAAGATGTAGCTGAGGTAAGCCTCCGAAGTGACAGGGTATTCTAAGATTTCAGTAGAACCTATTCTAAGTAATCAGCAGCTAAATCTATTTCGTTATCAGACAATTTCCACACTGTGTTTTCATACATGAATATAAAATACCACCAATTACATAACAAAGGTCTAAGCTTGTCACCGATGCACAAAGACACCACTTACCATGCATTACTTATGAAAGTAGTATTTCTGCTAGAAACACTTTTGCTTTAACTACTTGAACTAACTCAGAAAGAAAGGGGGGAAAAAAAGGCAACGTTTTCAAGTTGTAAAGTACAGTCATGTAAGCAGCAGAGGCTCATGAAATACACGTGCCTTGGCTTACTGTCTTACTGGATGTGTCTGAAGAAAATGCTTCTCAGCCTCTCTCTCTGCAGTGTTTTCTTTAGCTGCTCTATTGGTAATAATTTTACCTAGTATTCTAAACACTACTTTAAAAGCAGAATATTTGTTTCTGAGAAATACCAGTTTAAGGAAAATATCAACGCCACTAGCAATTATCTTGTCACATACATCAGTAAGCATCGTTCCTACTCATAAAGAATAAGAAAAGGGAAACTATAATTACTGACCATGACACTGAATTATCCTTTGGATTCCTGCAACCTGTTCCAACGTGTCTATGTTCTGAGTATAGTTACGAAGCAATTTTCCTTCTTTATCCATCAAAGCTATGAACTTGTGGCAGAGAGATGGCTGGAATTGGCCTGGATAGATTTCCTACGGAATTCAAAAGTACATTAGAAAGTGTATATGAATACACAGCATCTTTATTCCAAATGCAGCAATTATGTACTCATTTTTTGTAATCATCCCCTTTACATTTTGCCCTTTCCTTTCAGATCCAACTCTTCTTTCACCAGCTGAACTTCTCATTGTATCAGGATGAACTGCTCATTGCAGTAGCTGGTAGTTTGTTCTTCAGGCAGCACAAAACAAGGTCTAGGTCTTCTTTGGTTTTGAGAAATATAAAACATGAGTTTTCTTCCTCTTCTTCCTCAGTATTTTTATTAGAGACATTATTTTACTGCAGTCAGACAAAAAAGAAAAATAATCATGAGGAACTTGGATTCTGGTCTTTTGGTTAAATATGAACAGTTTTTATTCATCAACTGTACTGGCAGCCATTCCTGGGCTCTCATAAGCTACCAAACAGAAGCACAAATTGGACATAAAGCAGAAGGCAGGTGGCACTGAGACCAGCTTTGCCAATTTATCCAGTTACAACAGTCATTAAGGCAAAACCAAATGGCTTAGAAGAGCAATTCCACTGCCCCACACAGGTGCTCAGCATTTCTGCTAAATCGAGGAAGAGGAGGTAGGCATTTCTAAGGCATATATAGGAAGAAACGTGCACACTTTTATGGAATGATTTGACATCTCCTCAGTGAATAAAGGAGCTTGCCAGAAGAAAAAATGCATGTGGGCACTTAGCTGAAAGCTTCACACAAAGAACCTCTGCCTAGAACTGACCAACCAGGCAGTACTTCTAGTTGCTGTGTGACAAGGAGGCTAGAAGCAGCAGCACCCTCTTGCTCAGGAGCACCTCTTAAGAGGAGAAGCCCTCTGCTCTCCTGTCAGTCTTTTGCCACTGAACAGCAACTAGGCTGTACTCTCACCTGGGGAACCCAGGCTTTCGTACAGAAAGTAAGCAAGAAGTAGGAGCTGCCTACTTTTCTAGTAAATACTGAAAGCTGAACCAAAAAGTTGAGCACAACAGTGAACTGTTATGCGTGACAGCTCTGCCCTCAACTAATGCCACAGCCTAACCATTCACAACCAAAAGAGAATTTTTGAAAGTACTTGTTTTCCCCCCAAATATTTCAAGTTACTCTTATTTCTGAAGCTATGTAGGTCTTTGGTTTAAGTTGCAGCAGTAATCAACAATTGTTCACAGTGGTATCATCTAGATTACGAGTAGGCTGTTATAAAATTACCAGCAGATGTAATATGGTCCTAAGAGACTTTCTATCTTAGTCTGAAAAAGCAAGACATGCTCTGCCACCACTAACCATACAAATAAATATGGGATCCATGGGAGAGAATAATTACAGGAAATAAAGAAAGGACAGACTTCACATTGAACGAGTGGAAACAAGCACTTGTACAGAGGAATCAATGAAGCAGGAAGCAAAATGAGCTTATAGCACTAACAGTGAGAAAAGACTGACTAGACAACTAGAAATGCACATCCATACAGTGATAAAGGGTGGAACTCTTGGCACAGATGTAAGAAGAGACAGGAGATGAGGCAAAGCCAATAGCGCTCATTGAAAAGTACCTTAAAAATAGAGCAAAGCTCAGGTACAGTTGCTATGCCTTAAAATGTATGTACTAAAGTGAAAAATGAATTTCTGGGTCCAAGTATGTTGGCTGAGTAATTAGCCTCTGCTCTGACAGAGCAAATAGCTTTCAGAGTCGCTATTGTGTTTCAGGGTTTGGTGTGCTTTTTGTTGTTGTTGTTACTGCTGTTGTTTGCTTTCAATACCAGATGAAATTATGTCAATGAAAAATATCAGCCAAGTTAAATTTGAACTGTTCTGGTAAAATGTCCACATAGGCAGACCTCACGTAGTTGGTTCCCCTTCCCCTTCTCCCATATTAAAAAGTCAAAGCAACGTATATACTAATGGACACCAAAATATGTTAGAATTTGGATAGAGCGCTTTCAAGAAAGCCAAGCAACTCAGAAATGCATCCATGTTTCTTTTCCAAGCTTTGGATCAATAACAGAGCAGTAGTACAAACTGTGAGCAAAAGGAGGAAACAGCAAGCACAGCTAGCAGTGATGGATTCTCAGGAGTCCTTACAGGTCCTGTAAAAATACTTCTTTGATTTATATTTCCTTCTTGTCTCTGAGGCATTTTTAATTAATCTGTTTAATATTGCAAATATCTCTCAGAAAACTGCTCCATCCTCCCTTTTAAGAAATGAACACAGGCCCTGTAAGAAAGACTTTTTTTTAAAATACAGATCCTCGTGTCAGCTACATCAAAATCTGAAACAGGATCAAACTTATCAGTGCATGAAACTGCTTCACTCCTCCTAACCATGAAGCGATAAAATGTGGCCATACAGAGTGACATGAAACAGCATGCTACAGCACATCAAATTCAGATTCAGTTTTCCACATTACTTGTGTGCTTGCAAAAAGTTTCTCATTTTATTTTTCAGTGAATGTAACTGCAGCTAAGAATTTCAAGGACTTTTAGAATTATGACAAAATGTTATTTATCCTCCCTTGAATCAGAGAGCCACGAGATTGGTTGCATATAAAGTGAACTTGTAACGGGAACAGCCAAAGTAGGCTTTAAAAAGAATAAAATATTGCAAAGTCTTTTTAATAAGTTTAATACATGGTTGCACACAATGACTAAAGTATCATCTTTGAGGATATAATAGTTTGCAAAGGCCTGCCAAGGGGAGAGTCATTATGCCACTGAAATAAGCGTCTCATTAAATACCATCTTGTTGAAAGAGACAGACACCCTTTTGTTAACAGAGCTGTGCAAAATCTCATTTACGCATCTGAAGTATTTTTATTTACTGACCAAGATAAGATTAATAGGAAAGCCATACCTTTGCAAACTTAAAAAATGGCCTGGGATCCTTTCTGAAGTATTCTATATCAAACATTGCTTGAGGATCTGGAAGGTCTGGGAAGTCTACAGCAAGGCGTGCATAGATGCCGTCTCTTGATCTAAAGTCAGGTATTCCACAAGACACAGACACCTGAAATATATTTTTGCAATAAGCAATACTACATATCAGGCTATAACAGCTACTATGATAACAAGAGCTACCATGATACTATTTGGGAAACCGTATTTCCATACGCTCACGTACACAGAGATTGTGTTCTGTGTTGATCAAACCAATCTCCAAATCACAAGCAGGAGATACAGCACAAAAACACAACTTGATAACCTGGTCCAAAAAAGCTTCAGCACGATCCCCACAGGCAGTAACAGAATACTGAGTACTAAAAGCTCTAAAGTCTTGTAAGAAGAGTTGTTCATCTTTTTTTCCTTTACCATGCTAATGCAGTAACAAAATAGAGTCTCACTTCTGATGATAAGACACCTCTAATAAACTAGCTGAGCATTGCAGTAACAGTCAATAAGGGCTAATTTACTGTCCCATGCTACCCCAGAATACTGTAACAAGAGGTGGGAAAACAGGCATAGCAATTATAGGAAGAACAACACTGGATAACAGAAGTAGCAGTGCTTTTCTGCAAAGCTGGTCTAAGTTGGATTAGCCATCTTTTTTGAATAGCATCACACCTGTGTGTGCAGTCAACTGAGGTAAAAAATGATTGACTTTCATACTGTATCTCATACACAGGTGTAAAGCTGCAAATTCATGACAATTCAAGGTTTTGTTTAGTGAAATCATGAGTAGTCTTATCACCATAGTGTAGCACCTCAGACATAAAAGTCTGTCTACCGAAACTGAATTGTACTCTTATTAGAACCTAACCCCTCCCCCCAGTCTTTTACTCCCTCTAGTTCCATTAGACGCTTTATGAAATTCACTGAGACTTAAAGTCATTAGCTTTGTAAAAAAAAAAAAAAAGACTAGGATAGAAAATATTCTGGAATAGGTAGATGTGATTTTATTTCATAATTATTTTGCGTAGAAGCAATCGCTTAAGAGTTTAAATGTTTAAGAATAGCTTCTTGTCAGAAGAGAGATCTTGTCATTTCCAGTTTAAGCTCCAGTCTTGCAGCGTGCATCATCTAGGACAGCTGTACCTCCTCTTCCCAATTACTTGTTTACAAATACTGCCACTGTCAGATTGTCCATGTGCCATAAAGCTCTGGATAAGAACTAACCGACTATATACTCTCACACTGTCATTGTGGCAATACGTACCCCAGCTCCTGTCAAGACCATGATTTTTTTGCATTCTTGTAAAAGTTTCACTGCATCATCAATAGTATTAATATCTTTTCGTTTTTTTCTTTTTGGAGGCTCTGAAAGAATGTTTATGACAATTTGCCACAGTGTCATGTCATCCAGTTCAGGTGGAGGGATTGTTTCTGGGAGCAGGTCTTTCAGAATTGTCCGTGGGTCTGTACCTAACATGAGATGCTGCTGAACAAAAGTATAAGGACCTGAGAAAATTGAAAAACAAAACAAAACAGAAATTTACTCAGACAAGTATAACCATCATTCCATTTATTAATGCTTGCTACTTCATTTTATTAAAGCAGTTTCATTCCATGCATCAAAAACCCCATATATCTTGGTCTAAATTCAGGAATGGTAGCACAGGGAGGGTTTTATGATTATTTTCTGTTAACCCACAATCCGTTTTTTGAAAAGTCAGAGTAGAAGTCACAGTTTGATGGCTCTTACAAATACACGTTTAGCAACAAGACCTTCACAATGTTTCTCCATTTAATGGCTTAATTGGCGTTTTTCCAACGTTTCATAGGGTACACACATACATACATGCATTATAATGTATACTAATGACAAATAGGGCCTACCAATCCACAGGTTTTTTTATTGCTCTATCAGTCATCTAAAACTAATGACTTCAGAGATGATCTTCCATAGACACCAATCTCTCCAGAAGCACTCAAGAATGGAGCAGTAGAAGAAAAATAGGTACATCTTAAGAAGTTAAGGGGATCCAAACTAAATTATGTAAAACTAAATTAAAACTAAACTAAATTAACTAAATGTACATTACATATAAAGACAACCATCAGCAACTGCATTTACCTAAAAGGTACTGACAGTGAACCTGTAATGAAGAGATTGGTAAAGACTGGGTCAGGTTTTAAGTGGAACACTGTGCTGCCATACTGTTATTTTCTTGCTGCTGTGTTTATCAGTAGTGGCAATGCGATCACTGTGGTTTATCACATCTATGTAAGAGACAAGACTTGAAGTCCCAGCCTCGCTGGGCCCTGGAAGCCCATCCTATTCAAGTCGCCAGTCACTCCAGCAGCGTGCATCGCTCTGAGTGAGGTGAAAGCTTTCTACCCAACACCTGTACTACAGACTGATCTGCACACTAGTTAACACCCAAATGAAGGTGTCACATAGGACAGCGAGCCCTACAGATTAATATGGCTAAAATCATACAAGAATCAGCTTCATCATCTTTAAAGTAAGAGTAATACCATGTAAATGGGTAAGAAATATGCCAGTTTCATTTACTTAATTTAGTGAGCTTGTGTATATACAGTTAATATGGATTATGGCAGCATTTCTACAGAGCAGTCAACAGATTTGTTTTTCTTTCTCGAAATACAGTTTAAAGAGGTTAATTTTAAACCCCCCTAAATATTATACAGGATACAGAGAATAATTACTGAAAAATAAATAATTACTATTTCTTCTAACAATTTTCAAAAAAACTGAAGACTAGGAAGAACTGAGCAAGTGTTCACAGGCAAGCAGCATCTGAGAGTAATTGCATAGGCTTCTACCTATACGTGGTCTTGGGGTCCAGTCACTAGAACTTGCATGTGAAGCTCTGTCATCTTCATCACTATCACAGGAGTGGAAACCATTGGCTATGATTTCATCGCTTAAAAGGAAGTTATCTGCAAGACAGCACAACAATGGAAGTTACAAGACTTGAGCCAAGCAGCACAGTTCATGCATATTTAAATGTATCACAAAACCTAAAGTTGTAATTCATTGCATTCAACTTTAATTGCATACGAATAGATAGCATCACCACTTAGGGTTTTTTTTTTTTTTAGCTTACTAATACATTTTCAGGCCTCTGATTTACTGCAGGATTTCTGTATTAATACTGGCATCAGTGGGCTGACATTGACGTGAATGAGGTTTTCATTGTATCAACTGTTGGTTACTAAGGTTATTTGTACCTTCAAAAAAGAGTGAAGCCCTTTAAGATTACCATTATTTTCTCTTATTTTTCATACGGTTCTCACTTCACTCAGCTCTTACTGCAAAACTGGATAAAATCAATGTCTCACAGCTTACAGAACAATCTGCAATGGGGTTTTAAGACACACAAATACACAGCTGGATAGAAACAAGTTAGAGGATTTTGCTATGCTGTGCTGTTGCAGCTGACTTGCAGTAGCTGGCCACACACACACACACTTAGGTGGTATTTCATTCATGACAGAAAAACGTGCTACCTTGAACCACCTTCACTATGTTTATCACCATTGTACCTTGCAGATGGGTTTGGCTTCGAGCACTCCACTTGTGGCCCTCAGCCAGAGTAACCCAATCTAACTTCATCAAGTGCCCAGAACAAGGACTCTGGAGAGCAATGGATACTCATTTCACAGCAGGCGATACCAAGCTAACGTTTAAGGTGAAAATCCGTATTTTATTCTGAGCAGTTTGTTACAATATGGGCTACTATTTTTTTTTAATTATCTTTTTATTAATAGGCACAGCAAGTGTATTAATTTGTTGAAAATCTCTAAGCAAATGAAAGTAAGCCTCAGTCTCTAGAATAAAGAATCACCACCATCGCTTCCCAACACCAGTGAATGAACTCCTGTGCCGTACTGAAGGTAGGTCACCTCACCTTTACCCTTAAAGAAAAACACTGCATTTTGCATTGCACTGTCCAATTTGTTTAATTGATTGGATAAGTAAATTGCGGAAATGATTCTGATTAAATTGAAAAGGGTAGAGGCCAGTCATTCGCTTTCTACACTTGCTGCCTCCTGAGAGCACAGGTGCTCTTGTGACATTATGTCTTATTATGATTTTACATATTTAAAGCATCACACTTCTGTTTTGTAACGCATGAAGTCAGTGAGCACCTTACACAAAGACCTTTATGAATAAGAGAAGCACCCATGAGCACACTGCATTTTACTACAACAACCACTGCATCTGCTATGTGAAGAGCCAAAGTCTGTGTCATTAAAGACTCACCACATACAGGTCACATCATCATAGATTTATAAAATGCGATAGCCTAAAGTAACGGTTTAAACTGTAACACTCCCCAAGGAGTTCTCTTGATTCCTCAAAGGAATAAAAGGACTTTGTGCCAGAAACAGCCAATACAAACCAAAACACACCTGAGCATTTGAGTAACTCGAGGAATAGCCTCCACATAAGGCATTATAATAGAGATCACTTCCCAGGCAAAGCGCCGTATCTTCTACCTTTAAAGCACTACCTGAAAAACCCCAAAGCCTCCCAACCTGTCGCTCCCAACACAGCAGACCGAGCTCAGCGCTGGTACCGCCCAAGCCGTGCTCCAAACCCACCTGCAAAGGCAGCTCCCTGACGGCGCAGCTCTTTGCGCTTCAGCTGCTGAAGCCTAAGACTAACTCGAAGCTACCCAAAGAACTGGTCCGCACGACCGCTCCCGTCCCTTCCACTAAAGTTTTCAAGAAGCAGAGAGAAAGTAAGCGCTGTCAGGAGACGGGGCTCACGGCTGTCATTTTTAATAGCGCGCCGCCGCCGCCGCGGACGATCTCAGCAGCGAGCGCCGAGGCGACCTCGCCGCGAGGCCCGGCACGAATACCGCCGGCCGCCACGAGCCCCGATCGGCACCCCGGCCGACGGGCGGCGGCCGAGCGCGGCGCCTCCCTCGCCCCCCGCGCGGCTCGAGCCGCGGCCGCCCCGCGGCGGGACGGGGGATGGGGTCGGGTCCTCACCGGGCTGCGGGGCCGGCGCTCCGGCCGCCCCGTTTGAACGCTGCGCCCGCTCGCAGCCAATGGCCGCCTCCGCCGCGTCTTCGCCGGGCGCCGCCTCCGCCCCCTCCCCCCGGCCCCGCTGCCGCGGCTGCGGAGGCGGCTCCGCCCGGGCCAGGCCCCGCTGCGCGGCCCTATTGTCCGCGCCGCTCCGGCCCTCCGTCGTCGCGCCGTCCTCCTCCCGCGCCAGGACGTCGCCGTCGGCGCTGACGGCGGCCGCCTCGCCCGGAGGTTCCGTCGCGGCGGCGGCGGCGGCGGGCGGCTCCGCGCCCCGGTCCGGGCGGTGGGCGGGCGGCGCGCCCCGGCCGCAGACGCCGTCTTCCGAGTTCAGGCGCTGGCGCTTGGGCGCGGGCTCGGCGCTCTCGGCCGCGGCGCCGGGGCCGCCGCCGTCGCGGGGCCGGAGGAGCGGAGCCTCCCCGTCCGCCATCTTGGAGAAGCAACCGCCGCCCCCCTCCCTCCTTCCCTCCCGCCCGGCGCAGCGCGCAGCAGCGCCGCCGCCACGGCCCCCTCCCCCACCCCCAGGGAGCGATTTAAACGCGGCACGTGACCGCGCCACCGCCCACGCGGGCGCCCGCCCCGCGGAGGCCGCAACAACAACAAACCGGGTCACGTGAGCGGAGAGGCGGAGGGGGAGCGCGGCTCGGGTCACGTGGCGTCCGGCGCCGGCTGCGGCTCGGCCCTTGCGCGGCCTGGCGTTCTGGTCACGTGGCCGCGCGCAGCCCGGGCGGCCGCGGGGAGCGCTGCGGGGCCGGGGTTGGGTCAGCGCCTCGTTCCGCTCACCCGGAACGGGCGGAGGCCCGCCTCGGTTCGTCGCGGGAACGCGTTCCGACAGCGGGGGTGCCGCTGGCAAATGGCGGCGCCGCGGGCCCGTCGCTGGTGCCGGTGCCACGGAAAGGGGGGAACGCTCTGGGCTTCTCCGCAGCGTTCTCCAGAGCGGGCTCTGAAACGCAGCGCTCACGAACAGTTGCTGCTCCCCGCCCCGGGCTGCGCGTCGCAGATGCGCTTTGCTGGCCGCGCCGCACTCGCGAGCTCAGGCATTGTCACGTTGCTCGTCCCTGACGGGACGCACGGAGCTCGTGGCTGAGTTGGTGTGGAGTCTTCTGCTGCTTTAATGGTAGATGCTGAACTGTGACCCGTTTTCACCCGAGCCACACGCGCGGGTTTCCTTAGGCGTGCGGCGTCCTGCCCGAAGTTCCGCCCGGACGGAACTCGCCCGCTCTGGTACCGTACCGTTACCCACAGCCGCGGGTTTCCCATCAGCGCTGGGTGCTGCACGCACAAGTTAGCTGGGGCTGTTCGTTGGCCTGGGCCCCTGTTATTAGGTGCTGAACTTCACGTTACTGTGAATTCGGTTTTTTCTTGCCTTGCCTTTCTTTTCTGATGTGGGAGTGGTATTGACTGTGAGGGTGGGTGTGACTGGCACTTGTGTGTCGTTGTTAATGCATCTTGCACGGTGTGGAAGTGGGTAGGCACATTATTTTCTTGTATTTGTAGACTGTTTGAAATGTGGACTTTCAGAGGGCAAAGCGTTGCACTGGGCACTAACACGATCAGTAGGGTTCTGCGTGGTGGTTTTGTTTAGAAGTGAAATGAAGGAAACTGAGAGCAGTCCTTCTTTTGCTTGTATTTCTTGCTGTATAGATAGGCACAGAAACGTATAATAGAGTTGTGTTACACTTTCTCTTCTACAATGGTGAGTTAAAACAACCTCAGGCAGCTGTGCAAAGTGGTGGCTGAATTGGCTTTACAGCATCCTCTCATTTGTTTAGTTGTTCTGAACTGATAGGAATCAATGTTTGCTTTCAGCAACAATAACAAAATCTGTTTTTTTTAAAGAGAAATGTTGCCTATCTTTATTTGCACGTGCTTTGGTTACATTACCTACTAGCACAGCAATATTGATCTAAACTTCATGGATACAGATTTCAGTATTTTTTTGGTTTAATATTACTGCTTAATATCACCAACTGCTTACATAATAGCCTTAGTGACTTTAATACTACCAAATCCTTAAATTTGGTGGCAAGACCAACATTAGACAAGTAGAATTTCTGCCTCACAGACCTCGATAGCATCAGCTGTAATAAATCTATACTTCTGGTTAAGTTGCACATAACATTTCTCGTGCTTATGTGTATCAAAACAAGAAGTAATAAGATGTGAATTAGAACAATTCTATCATTGTCTGCGAATTTGTTTTAAAGCATTCTTTTTCTGTGTTGAAGTTGAGACAAGAATCAGATTTTGAGGCATAAAAAGAGAGGTGTTACTTTAGTAATGGTGTTTGAATGCTTATCTATGTGAAGACCATGTTCTAAGGAAGACAGACACCATATAATTGACACAGATGGATGACACAAAGCTTTCTGTGAAACTGTTGAGGAAACAAATCAAGGATCCTAAAGCTGACTCTAACCTTGCGAGCATTTGTGTGTGCAATGATGTTGCAGTAGTTGCCCCTAAACTGGGAAGTCAGTTTGGCAGTGCTTGAGTCCTCTTCTATTCCTGCATCTCTGAGTATGTGTGACCCACCAAAGGTGGAACATGCAGAACTTATTTGAGTTATGTTGTGCCTTGAATTCTGTGTGCTCTGTCCTTTGGAAGCAGAACAACTCAAGTTGATTGAGAAGAACTGGTGCTAGAAGATTTGATACATTATATGGGAATAAAATGAAATACAGATTTGCAGATCTCCCTTGTTATATTTAAATAGCCATTTTGGACCAACAAGTGGATGGCAAGCCTTCTGTTACACTGAGCCAGGATTTAATTTTGCTCCTGACTCTAAGCAAGCAACATTGTTGATTACGTGTAGGGAATGAACACAAACATTTTGTTAGTGGCTGGGTACAGAGGACAAATATGAGATTTCCTCACATTCTGTACTGTTTGTACATTCGGGGCTAGGCTAACCAAAACATGTGAATACACACACACTGTGCCATCTCCTGTGCTGTGATTCCCTTTCAAACAACGCTTATCTCCTGAAGGTAATCTTTATATTTTTTTATACATGGCTTCTCTTCCTCTCGTTTTTTGATGATGCTCCATGAGTAGTTCTGGTAAGGAGCAGCAGTTGACAATGCTAATCTGCTGTATTAGTATTTTGCAGCTTCCATGCTCAAACCTTTTGTTTGTATCCCAAGCACTGGAAATTCCTGGGAGGAGAGAAAACAAGTATGCCCACTGCTGTGGTTTGAATTGGACTCCTTGTTCATTCTGTCTGAACAGAATATAGATGAAAAAGCTTTCAAGGCTCAGGATTTTGTTAGTTGAATCCTGCTCTTGGATCTGCAGTTCACTTCGTGGCACAAAAAAGCCACTGAAACCTGCAGGGAAAAGGGGTTAAAAAGATCCTTCCCTTTCACCTTATGCAAATACGCAAGAAATACTTGGCCAAGAACGATATGTCAGGAGTGCTGCTGGGGATGTGGAACAGCTGTTTGTTTTTTGTCCTCCCCCAAAGTACTATCTATTTAAATATTTACATGATCTCTTGCTAAAACGCTTTCATTTCTTTATTGTACTTTTGTGATTTGTTAGTAAGGAATGGAGAAGAGGGAGAACTTTGTAATTGTTCATTCTTTCACTTTGTTGAAAAAAATCAGTTGTTTTATATACTCTGAGAAATACACCGATGTTTTCTAATTAGTTTAAATAGTTTCACTGAGGCTCATGCATTGCTGCTTTGATATTGCTGCTTCTTTCTTTCATGTGCTTTTTATGTATTTTATAATCTTAACAGGCTATCTGAACATACAGTAAAACAAGACCTTTCAGACAATACAGCCAGAAGTAGCAGGTAATTACACAGATAATTTCAGAAGATTAACATTTTGTGTAATAGTAACATAGAGTAAACCATAGCAATTATAAATGGGGGATTATGTATTCCACATTTTATAAATGGTTCTGAGTGGCCACTAGGTCCTTCACTACTTCACTTAGCACTGTGATAGCTTCAATCATACCCCATGTATCTATTTTGCATAGACTTTCCTAGGTTACTGCATCTAAGATTATATAAATATTCAAGGCAATATTAGTGTTAGTTTAAAGAATTAGCAGTATTTTATGACTTTAAACATCTTGCATTACAAAGCTCTTGAACAGAGAAAGTAAAAATATAGCTCCTTAGGCTCCAGAGGAAAGGTTCCAGCATGTGGTTACTGTTACCCCTAGGTATCACCTTTTAAAATCAATAGATCGTAGGAGAATACAGTTAAACATGAGTGTAGGCTTTGTTGGACTTAGGCCTTGATCATTAATTATAGTTCGAATTAAAATGTACTTCATTTCAAAGTCAAATGAGTTTTACAGAGAAGGTGTGTGCATGATACAAGCCTTTAAGGTGCAATTTGAAATAACTGGGAACTTCTGTTTCTTTTGAGAGTAGACAGTAAGGCTATTATCTTTTTATGCTGCCTTTTCATAGGCTTAATTTTGACAGACATGCAACTGTACAAAAGCAATGAACTGTTTGTTTTTTGAATAATGACATGTGTGTGTGCTAGTTATCCTTCACAGACAAGGATTTACCTTTTCTGCTGAAGGAACTGACAGAACCAGGAGATTTGGCAAGATTAGGACTTCATTCACAGAAGTGTGCAGCCCAGTCGTCATTATTTTGGAAGCGATCACTTAAAAATAAAGCAAAATATATCTTTTAGAATATATAGGCCCTGGTGCATAAGAGCATAAAGTCAGTGAGACTGACTTTAACTGACTATCTGCAGAATCTGTATCTCAAATACAGCTAGATTTTACTGAGAATCCAGAATCCAGTTTGGAGGAGACCCGGAGTTTGATGTTGAAATGACTTGGGTGACTACAAATCCCAGGGAGCACTGCCATTAGCAGGTTTGTGCAAGCGGATTGGCATCCTGCAGGGACCAATGGCAGGCAGAGAATTCAAGACAATTCATGTGTGTCAGCTCTCTGTATTAAAAAGCGCTGGAGAGAGCTGCAGACTTGTGTGGAAATCGCCTCTTTCCCCAGGCTACTTTTAAACCTATTTGTGAGCTGGCTATTGATATTATATTTTAAACCCGCTGTGCCTCAGCTTGAAGAAGCCTGCTGGACCAGCCCAGATGGATGCAATTTTGAACTGCAGAGTGGATGAGTTGGAAGATTACTACAACTTGCTAGGATGTGATGAACTATCTACGGTAAGAGCCTTTCCCACCTCCCTTTCAGATTAATAACATTTTGAATGTCCTTGTGTATCTACTGGGGGGATTTGAAATTATTAATCCCTAAAGGTAGAACTATTTGAAATGTACTGCAGACCTTCTTTCTTGCCACTTTTCTCTTTTCAGAATTCCTTTTGCAAAGCTCGTTTTTCTGATCTATATGCCAATGTTCAGATCTTAGAATGAGGCTCACATTAAAAATGTCTTATGAAACAGGATTGTATTACAGATATAGGTGAAACTATGGCTTATTAAATAATTTAGTTCAACATATGGTATGGTTTTAAATTGTGAGCCAAGTGCATAAATTTGCCAACATGCAAACAACATATTGGAATACATTTGCAGTTTTAAAAGGTGAAGAAGCTAACTGTGCAACTAACTGAAAGTTCAGAGCTGTCAGTGTCTGATGATGCTATTGAGTTTCTCGAGTATATACCTATCTTATTCCTTTTTCATTTTTAAAAACTCATTATTGGGAAGAAAAACAAAAAGTGCATCTTTTTCAATCGTCATATTAATGATTTTTAACAGTAATTTTAATGACTTACAAGAAGTTTTAGATTTTTTGTTGTTGTTGTTGGCAGATGCATACTGTAGGTATGCAAGCAGTTGTACAATTTGTACTTAAACACTCTTCTTCCTAAATATGTCCATGTAATGTTTTTGGGTAGTTTGAGTTAGTGGTATGCTATTATTTTTTAATCTAGCTGCTGGAATTAGGTTCAGATTTTGAAAAGGGAGTTTTGATTACTCTGCTGTAATGAATGGGAAATTCAGGGTGGATAAAAGCTATATTTTGCTCAGTAAATTTAATCAGATGCTTTCATTTGTCGTAGTGGTCAAATGCTGGTAAAATTTCTGTCACTGAAAGCCAATTAATAAGCATCTTAGGTCTGTTGCAGAGGGTAATTTTAAGCTTTCCCTGAGAGAACTTCTAATGTGACATCCCAGCAGAGGGCAGTGTTAAAGTTCATATCTAGGCTTGTTTTGCAAACGCTATTTCTCGTCTCCTAGCTCACGTTAATACCTTACAGGCTTATTAATTAATGGACAGTTCATGCACATGTGATAATGATTTTTCAAATTGCTTCAAAATGAAATTCAGAAGGTGGGATAATTGCAGTGGGTCCTGAAAAATAATCTGTCAAGTACTATTTATTGAGAGAAGCAGCAGATGTTACAGCATTGTTTTTGACGTGGAAGCGCGAACTGAGATAACAAGATGACTGAGTGCAGTGATTCCTTCTCTCAGCACAGTGTACGTGACTACTAGTGTTTAAAAAAGATTTGAAGCATTCCAGGTATTTTGCAATCACACTGATTTCTATATGCATCAAGTATTTGTAGCAGTGCAGGCTTCTATGCACCCTTCTTTAGGCCTGTACAGAAGTGAATTTACTCTTGCACACTCATAGTATTTTCATGCCCTGTACTGATCTGACCTGGATCAATTTAAACACAAATAGCTTCAAGTATTTCAACAGCATTTCTCTACATTAAAAAAAAAAAAAAAAAAAAAAAGGTGTTCATTCTTGGTTTCTTGCAGAATTGGGCTCATAACCTCTTCATATTGGAGAGGCTGAGGTGATATTTATTCTACATCCTTCATCCATGAACAGTGTTATTCTAGTAGGTATAAGATAACTTTTTTGGTAAAATATGTCGTTTTTTTTTTTTATGTAAATTGAATGTATTTTTGTATAAAAGTTGCATGAACTTTTCCCAGCATGTGACCACAGAATTTGGCCAGCTATTTAAGTGACATGTAATTTTGTTTTACAGAAAAATGATGTTGTAACTTAGTTTTAAAATATTTCATTTAAAATTTATATGGACATCAGATTGAAGGATGCTGAATTTATGTGAACAATTTTTCCAGCATGGAGAAAATAATAGCTAACTGATATTTTGGGATGAATTCTTGTCTAAGCTTGAGATATAGAATGGAATAAAGAAATGTTGGCTCCTGAATTACAGGAAGAAACAAGATGCTATGAAAATCTGAAGATTTGAAAATCAAAGCCTAACTGCAGCTACTGTGGTTTCCTGTGCTTTGTTAGCTCTTAATCTCTCTTTTCCAGAGGTTATGATACCTTATGACCTTATAAAATGTAGGAACTTGTAGTTAATTGAAAGTAATGTATGTCAATATTCATATATTGATTACAAATGTATTCTATTCCACACCAGTCTTTGCCCAGAAAATTAACTTGACAGGAAGACTGTGATCTGTTCTTTGTCTAGCTTTGTGGTATGTAAGCTAGATAACCCATGTGGTTCTGGCTAAGGTTAGTGTGCACATGTGATCTGTACATGTTTTTCTTAAAGCTAACTCACTATATTGGATATAAGTTTCACCAAAGCAAAAACAAGGATGAGTGCATGGATAATGAAGTTAGTGTCACTGACAGGTGGTGGTTGTTGCCTATTTTGCCTGTACTAAAAGTTTGTGAAATGAATAGGAAAAGAATCTTTTGACATTCCTTGTTGTTCTCCCAACCCCTTTCAAAGAGCAAATTTGAATGTCTTTTCTGTGTGTTTACTCACTTCAAATCTGATATCCTGTTTAGGTTGAACAAATTCTTGCAGAATTTAAGATTAAGGCCCTTGAATGTCATCCTGACAAACACCCAGGAAACCCCAAAGCAGGTATGTATATTTCTCTGTTTAAAAATAATCTTTATCTCAGATAACTAAGATGACTAAGATATTACATTCAACCTTAATATTTTACTAAATACTCTTTTGCACAGTACATTTTAATTGTCATGTGTATTGAGCATATTGTCTTTAAATAGCAGGCTTTAATATTCTGTAACATTTGCACACTCATAGGTAGAAAGAGCAGGAAGACACTTTTTTTTTTTATTTCTGGGATTTTTTTCTTTCTTTAATAATTTATTCCTATGGTAGGAATCCAGAAATTGTTTATGGCATGTAGCCCGTCCTAGACCTATGAAGTTGGACTGCTTCCAAGGCCAGTGGCATTCAAATGTCACACTTACGTCAACTAGTTAATTTGCGTCCAGGAACAAGATAATCAGAATCATATTAAATGTACTTAAGTTTCTTTTAGTGTAATTTAATTATTGGAAATAAAGAGAAGCCAACACCACATGAGTAGCCATCTGTTTGCAGAACATCAGCTAATGTCTCAATTAAGCACACAGTTCATCATATCCAAGCCATACCTGTGACGTCTAAGCAGCACCTGCATTATTTGAAGACAGTTTTACCCATTTATAACCAAAAGACAGCTCTAATCTGTGCTCATCTTTGAATAGCTTCAATTCTTGCAACTGTTCTGATCATAATTTCGGTCCCAACTAAAAATTGTAGAATAATTAAGTATACTTTTCATTTTGGTTAATGCACAAAGCTTTTCATTTGGATCCTTCCTAATTGTTTAACTACAAACACTCCCCTGGGACAGCAGAGCTGTGTGTGCAGCGGCTGTTATGAAAGGCTCCCGCCCCACTGCCTCCAGCAGAGCTCTCAGCCAGATTGCCTTTCCCTCTTGATGTGTCATCCTGTTCCAGTGAGTTGGCAAGGGGAGGCTGAAAGGCAAAATAGGTAGGATGTCTCACTTTGGTTTTCTCTGAGAAGGAACCTCTTGAGATCTGGAGTTTGAGAGACAATCTACCACCTGTTAACTATGACAATCATCACTAGTATTTGATTTACTGATTAACACAAGTGCCAGTGGAATCAGTGTAACAGACTTTGCATCAAATTCTGGCTCATGCGGTAAGAAGAAACTTCCATGGTCATAGCCCTACAGCTCCCTCTAAAGTCAGTGAAGCTTAGTAACTCAGGGGAGGCCAAGTGCCAAATGTTAGAAAGGTTTTATCAAGAAGTATTTTATGCTGCATTTACCCAAACATCCTGTGTTTACGTTAAATGCCTTTTCACATTGCTGATGAAAGTTTATGGTTTTATATTTCATCAGCTTAACTAAGCTCAGTAAAGAGTAATTAAAATAACTTTATTGAGAACTTGTGACACTGGAAAAGGAAACTGCAGAACTGCCTTCCCAGCGTGTCGTCTGTTGTTTGATTTAAGCTCACCGATTTTGTTTGGGCTTTATATTTCAAAAGAAATCTAATTTGTAAACTCGAATATATGAATAATAATAGTAATAGATCACTGTAACACAGGTGGCTCTTAGATAAATCTAAATCTTTATAACCTTTCTACAAATAGTAATGTGTAGCTGCATCCTTAGTAACCATTTAATGAAAAATTATCCTGTAGGGAAAAGTGAGAGCTCTCATTTGTGCAGTCAGGTATCCAAGACAACATTTTAGCATATGTGGAAAAGCTACCTAGTTAAATGCACGATTTAATTATTTTTCACTATAGTTAGATTCCTTTATGTGCTTGTTGGTTTTGCTTGTCAATTTACCTTGTGCTGCTGGTAGACCTGAATTGATTTCACTGAGAACAAGTATTGGTTTTAGCATCTTTTTGGGTTGTTTTGTAGTGGAGAATTTCCAGAAGCTGCAGCAAGCTAAGGAGGTTCTTATCAATGAAGAGAGTCGAGCGCGCTATGATTACTGGAGGAGAAGCAAAATCACCATTCCTTTCCAGCAGTGGGAGGCCTTGAGCAGCTCTGTGAAAACGGTTGGTGTTGTCTATGTCTGAGCACACAGAGAGGAGGTTGGGTTGACCCAGGAGAAATGCTCCAGTGGGGGAGAGTGAGCTGCCACAGGGTTTTTGGGATGGTGCAGAATGATTTCTGAGGGAACATTGGAGGGCTGTAGAAGACCATTCATAGTCTGGTTTTAGGCTGTTAGTTTTACAGTAAATTCTTCAGATTGCCACTTTCATGTGTATTATCTACATGTTAAAGCTTAGAAATAGATGTTCTGAGGATTGATTTCCCTACTAATTTTGCTGGTGTGTTTCTACTAGGTTCTAATTCCATGATGTTTGATTATTTTCTGCATTGTTGCAGTGCATGATTGCTACAAATTCACATGGTCAGATATTTAGACAGGTGAATGAATGTTTCCCTTTCCAGTCCTGCCTGCCTCAATTCTGCTTACTACTGATGTTTGAGAGCCTCTTTAGCTGAATCATTATGCCTGAGTTTAAATGTTTGATGGAAGCATCTCACCAAGCATAGCTCAGTTCCAAACAGGAGTCATAATTTAGACTTCAGTAATAAAAGCTTTCAAAATTGTCTTGCTTTCAAAAGGGACACTGAAGTCAAAGGCAGCTTTGAAAATGGAAATAGAAGTCACTCAAGCCCTCTTAAAAAGCATCTCAAGTCATGTGGCATACATCTAGGTTTTGTTGTTTGTCTTGACCTGACACAAGCTATCCTTTCAAATGCTGTTTATAGTGCGTTACCATGTTTCCTTCTCCTGTTCACCTGCAAGCTTCTCTAGTACCAGACTGTATTTGATTATTTATTACAATGTAGGAAAGAAAAAATCAATTTTTTTTTTAAAGCATAGAAATTGGTACATTGTTTTTTTTATTTCTGCATTTCTGTAGTCAATGCACTGGGCTGTCCAAAATAAGAAGGATCAAATGCTGGAAGGTCCTGACTTGAACAATAGCAACAACTTAACTAATGAGATTTGGACCCAGAAAACTGAAAACAATGAAGATGGATTGTCTGATGGGAACAGAGAGCAAGATGTTGCAATTCCTGATGTAAAACCACAGTCTTCAAAGAATCCAGACTCCCCAAGTAAGTAAAACCAGCAGTTACAGCAGACTGCAGAAGGCAGGACTGCCCTGAAACTGAGGCTTGTAGTCATGAAGAATTCTTCAGAATAAGACATCTGGTAGCTTTTTTTTTTAGTGTGGTTTTGGATTGGGATTTTGTTATAGCTTTTAGGATTTGTTTTTTCTTGTTTCTGAAGCTTTCAGGCCTTTCTCCCTCCCTGCCTCCAGTTTCTTTGCCTGCTAGATAGTAAAACCAATCTTAGTTGTTATTAAATCAAAATGAAAAACTCACTTTTCCTGCTAGATTGAAGTGGGTAAAAATAATAAATTATTTTCAATGATTAAAAAAAAAAACAAAAACAAAACAAAAACAAACAAACAAAAACCCCAAGAAACAAATGCCAAGACTTTAAATCATATTACATAAAAATTTAGATTCCTTTATTTTTTTCCTTTTTCTTTAAATCCAGCATTCAATACTTATGCACATTTGCATCTGAGGAGCTAATGAGGATTAAAAATTTAGGCTTGAAGGTTTCTTTTGTATTTTTTTTTTAAATAGCACGCACACCAGAATAAATTTCAAAAGCTATCATCTGGCCAGCTAATATTTCCTATCTATTTTTAGGTTAGTATATCTGAACCAAATTTAACTTACCACAAAGGCCACCCTCTGTTCTGTTTCATACTTTAGCAGTTTCATAATGTTACATTATAATATATGTATATGTATATATTATAAGATTATTAGAGAAATATTATTAAACATTTGTCATTTCTTCTCAGTTTGACTGAACAGGGAATTAAGATAAACTGGGAGGAAACAAAAGTTAGTTTATAGAATGCAGAAAATAAAGTTCTACAAACAAATGCTGGTGAGATGTAACTAAAAAATGTAGTATTGAAAAATAATAACTTATAACATTATACTGTTTGTTAATTTAGGTAATTAAATCAGCTCTGTAGACTTCTGTAAAGGAATTACATTTCAAAGTAAACAAAATGCCACCTTGTTCCTTGTGTTAGTAAGCTTTCTTTGAAGGCATCTTCTTTCTTACAATTTTTGTTTTCATATGCTCTTCATAGATTTGAAAGTGAAAAAATCAAACCCATGAAAAGCCTACTTGATGTATCCAGAAGGCGCACATATGTACATATATACCTGATGTTAGCATGTTGATAACTTTCTTTGGATCCATCCAGGAAAACTTTTAATACTGGATGCTCATTTGAAATGGAGATAGATTTGGTTTCTGTCTGCTAGTGCAGAGGAGTTACAGACCACAGCTCAACATGTGCATTTCAACCTGAATGAAATAATTTAACAATAAATCTAGTAACAGGTTTCAGCTTCCTGATGTAGGAAGATCATGTTTTAGTATTCCCAACTAATAGATCCTAAAAATATAGTTCTGGGCCTGAAATAAAATATGTAGGTAAGGGCTGAAAAACTCCTCAACTCCTCTGTGTGTAGAAAGAGTCAGTTCGCTTCCCTTCAAGCTGCTGCCATTCACATGCTTAGAGACTAATCCTGCCACCTTTTCTGTCTCCTTCTTCAGATTAAGCAAGTGATTTTTGTTCACTCTTTCATTCTAAATTCTCCTTTTTAGAGTTCTCATAATTCTTACTGTTCTCCCTTGACTCTTTCCAGCTGATATATATCTTGAAATTTGGTGTTTGCTTTGGTTCTTGTTCAAATGGTGCCAAGAATGCAGAGGTTGTCCCTGCTAGTCAAGAGCACTTGAAAGTGACTAAGTTATGACTTGCTTTTTGGAGGAAGATTAAGTTACTATTTCAAACAACTTAGTATTATAGATTTGTAATAATTTATTTGCGTTTCTCTCTCTTTGTTTCCCCCCCCCAGGATTTTCGGAGGCAAACTACTGGCACTTACGCTTCCGCTGGTCAGGGGATGCCCCATCAGATCTTCTGAGGAAATTCAGAAATTATGAAATCTAAAATGCAAAATACACAGTAGTGTGAGGTCATCTATTCAACAATTCAGTATTTTTTGCAGCAGTTTTAAGTTATTTGTATTTTGTATTCATTCATTGTGATTTGAATGTTGTTTGAATAAATGTCACGTCTGTATCTGCTAACACACATTCTATGAGTATTACAGGCAGAGGTCTGTTTTAATGAGAAGGTTCAGTAAGCAAAGCCCTTTTCAGTATTAATGTAGAGTGATTTGGTGTAGTTATCAAATTTTTTGTATATTGTTTCTTGTGTTTTTAAATATTGTGTGGTAATAATAATTGTATTCTCAGCAGAACCAAAAGTCAGTGCTAGATTCCAAGGTATTACTATATTAAATGACAATCTACCAAAAGCTGTATGACAATGAACTTAAAACTGTGCTTGCTTCTAAACTATGTACTTTGGTTCTCTACTCTATTGCATTGTACTTACTGCAGTGATTTGTAATGCATGCATTCACAATACTTCTACAAGCCTAACTTGTTGGACAGTTGTAATTTTGCAATATAAATGAAATAAGAACCTTATTATTATCCAGCAGTTAACCATGGTGGATCAAGCACTCTCAAAAATCACTTGCATTCTATCATAATAGGTAAGCTTTTTGCACCAACTGCTTATTTTAGAAGGCAATTCCAGAACCTTGCCTTATTGGACAGAAACTCTTCTTGTTAAGATTTGTTGGTGGAAATCTGATACCTCTTGTATGTGTATGCCAGCATTGTCCTAGCGTAATAGTTACTTTCTTCCCTTCTGTGGCCTCACAGACAGCGTACAAAATCCTGATATGACCCTAAGTGTGAAGAATCAGGCCAGCCTGCATAAATGTGTTTAAAATCTAACTTAAGTTTTTGAAATGTTGAGTGACTTCTCAAATTCTGTGTTGTGTCTATTTTGCATTTGCTTCCTTTTTTTGTAATCCTGACTGATACGTCAGCTAATTGACATTGTGTTTTTTTTGTGTGGGCAAGTGATTCTGACAGCAAGTGATTCAAATAAAATTACATACATACAGAAAGAATTGTTTTTTTTTTTTTTTTAAATGAAATTCAAGAGATCCCTCTTGAATTTCTTATTACTTGTCCCATCAGCAAGGAAACATTTAAGGGAGTCCAGTTATGAATACTGGCAATTTCTGTGGAAAGTCTAATCTAAGAACTGTGGCCTTTTCTCAACATGGAGACAATTGTATGACATCTCTTCTTCCTGAAGAAACACATTTGGCCTTGTTATGCTAGTAATATGATGTGCTGACTGTCCTGTCATGCTTCTGTTTGGTGTTCATCTGCGACAAGCTGTAATGTAAATACTTGCCACTGCAACACAGATAATGTGTATGTACCATTAGATACATTTGTATTGTTGTTCAGATGCCAGTTTTCTTTGCAGGAGCTGACACCAGTGGTAACTCCAGTAGTGTTTGCACCAGTTTGTTTATAGAAGCTCAAAGTAATGCTGTTCTGTTGTTACAGGTTCTGTTGTTACATTGATCCTACTTTGACATCATTAGTGACAGCTATTTTTACAATGCATCATCCTGCTTATACAAAATTATTGTGTTCTTTTCCCTTGTATATTTTGCAGCTGAAAACAGATGATAGTAATAATTCTTTGTAATATCTGCTAAATATTATTACATACTTCTCTCTATGGAAAGGTATCTGCTCAAGAAAGACTTTCAGTCCATTTTATCATGGAAGGACAGTAAATAAGGTGAAACGAGAGGAACAGAAGCACTAGTCCAAGTAAAGAATACAAAATAATTTATTTTTCTCTCTTTTCTGAAAAGATGGAAATATAACTAGCTGGCCTACTTGGGATCAGCTTTCCCTCCCCATTTCATTTGCAGAGGGTGCTTTAGTGGATGATTTAGCACCTAACTGACATGAGAGCATATAGGAGGTCTTTGAACAATAAAACTGTTTCTTATGTCTTTCAAAGTGGGCTGTTTTGCCAAAACACCTTTGGATATTTGTTATAAATAAATAGTTGCAGATATCAGGAGGACTCTGAGCCCTGCTAGATTTCTGCTAGGGATCAATAATCTTATATTTACCCTAATGAAGAAGTCAGATTATTAACTGATGCTCCGGTATGCTGATATAGACATTTCTTACACTTACTTATATATTTGAAAAGTTCCAATTCTTTTGTGTTTCAAATAGAACTGAATTAACCTGCTCCTGGTAGCATTTGAATCAGTGATTGAGCACCTGGTGGGAAGGCAGGGCCAACCCAGGGGAGCTCAGGTGCATGCAGTGCAGCTGAGTGACTGGAAGGGCTGGAGCCAGGATCCACCCCTTCCCAGCCATCATTTAAGGGTTGGCAGCGGAGGTGAAGGTATCTTGATGGAGGTCTCTGCGTACCTGGGGCTTTCCAAGGGTAAGTAGCTTCTTTTCTTTATTTCTGTGCCTGCAGCTGTTGCATTTGAGCGTATCCTCACTTGCTGCAGCCTAGGACCTTGGTGCTCTGCTGTTATTGCTGCACTGTCCACTGTGTCTCAGTGTTACACCTAACAAGCCCAGTAGTACTGGAAAACAGGAGGAATCTGTGCAGCTTGTTTCTGCTCTGGAGCAGTAGTGGTGGGACCTCACCTGCTAGCCAGCAAGAACAATTAATTGGAATGGCTGGGCACCCTCATTATAAAGAGGAAAACAATGGGCACCTGACAAATTACTCAGTGCTTGATAAGCTGGGACCTTACCCCTACTCCTTCTCAAGCAGAAGATGTTTATTTTTTTCAAATATATATCTAGTTGTGTTTTGAAGCTTGGTTGCTAGTAGCATGGGAAGATGCGCTGGCCTATGTGATGTTGTTTGTGATAATGTAGTGCCTTGGCCTCTGCACTGGTAGGCATATAACTTACTTGGCTAAGACTCATGCTTAGACGTAAATTGGTGGAGGGGATGTATGCTGTGTCACTTGAGCTTTGAAAAGATGTAATTATAACAGCCAAGTGTATGTGGCTTTTTAGTGGCCAAAGGAAGAATTTAGTTTAATTTGCTAAATGGTGACAGCTGTGAAAGGCCAGCAACAGTCACAGGTGGTGTGTGATGATTAGGAGCTGCAAGCCACAAGCTGGGGAGGGGGCAGCCACATGAAGGACCGGGGGATGAGGTCCTACTTTCCTGTTTAGCTCTTATGGGTTGTTTACATAGATAACAAAGAGCCCTGAAACTGCTTGATATCTGGGGAATCTGACTTGGTATGTCTTGTACTGTAAAAATTAATATATTTTAAATTCCTGCTGTAATTCCTGGATTTGTGCAATTTCTGACTATGTAAGACAGAATATTCTAGTCTTTCACAAACTTCTTGTTTTGCTAAGTATCTTGCTAATATTTCCCAAGTGGCAACGTAAGAATTAAAATGTCAATGAATACAAATAGTATAGAACTTAAAAAGCTCAAGTTGAGTACAGCTGGATGATAGGTAAGGTCATTTTCTGAATGGTGGTTTTATTCTTCGGAAAGGCCGAAAAAAAAAAAAAAAGCAAAAAATACAGTTCATAAGCTATATAATAGAAGTATCCTGATGATTAAAACAGATATCGACGACCTTTAATTTCCTGAGCACAAACATTGCTATCATAGACTTTAATATCCTGAAATAAGAAACCAGACTGTTGGGAAGGTAAGCAGCAAAGCTGTTATAAAGCTGGTGAAATTACACAGCAAAAGATAAAGCAACTTGGTAAGCCATCAGCTTCTGTCCCCGTCAGATGAGGTGATGCTTATCAGTTAGTTTATGCTGGCTTTTTTATTGCAGCTCAGTGTATGTGCTTGTCCTGCAGCTATGAGTCACCAAGCCTCTACTTTGACGTGTGCACTGTGTATGTTTGCTCTTTTGCTATACTTGTTTCTTCCTTTCATGTTAATGAAAATAAGACTCTTATGATCTTTTCTGCTTGTCCCAGCTTTGAAAGGATTGTATCTGAATAATTACAATGCTGCAGAGCATGGAGATTGAGAAGCTTTATGAGTCTTAGGTCTCTGGTATATATCACATCCTGTCACAGGTGGTGGAAGTTGCAGAAAACGACTTTTTTCTTCTCTATAGTATTTTCTCAGTGTTTTGCTCTTGCTTCCTTCTTTTGATGTGTGCAGTGAATGAGAGGGATTACTTCTAAAATAGGAGATTTGCTGTCAGTGTTCAGATGATTTTTATTCTTGATGTGCAACGTAGTTTTCAGCATGTTTGATGAAAAGATTTGCACGCTGCTTTGTCAAAGCTACTTCTCTGAACATATCCAATGACTTGGCACCAAAAGCCTGCAGTACTTCTAAGGAGATGTAGTTTGACTCAGATTTCAGTCCCTGCAGAAACTAGACTTATCAGGACTGTCAGAGCTGGTCCTTTTCTAGCAATTGATTTCTGTGGTGCTTCCAGATTTCTGCTTGGTATCTGATTGCCAGCTCTCCTCCTTTCTGATCTAACAACAATGTGTCAATGATACCTAGGGGAAGGGGAGCTGGATCATGTGTGGTAAAGTGCAGAGGAGAAATAGACTATTCCAGCTGCTTGCACTTTGGTGATTTTGGTACTTTCTGCTACCTGTACTTGCTTCCAATGTATCTGAGTCTTTCCCAGGGCTCTCGTGACTATGCTTGACCTATTACTGCCAAAGGACAAAGTTCCTTGCTTCAGGATGGATAGCTCACGACAAAAAGGAGCTTGGATATCTTAAGCATTCCTCTGCTAGAGGTACACTAAGCCAGGTTTGGGGCAGAAAATTGTGCAGAGTTGTAGACACATGGAACAGTATGTTGCTATGCCCATGTGTAGCTTTTGGAGCCTGGACTCCAGCATTGGATTCACTACTGCTTTTTCTCATTCTTATCGTTGAGCTTTGAAAAGGGAAACAAAGGAGAGACCTGAACCCAAGATTCTAGTGCTGCTGATACGCATATAGTCTTAGACAGTCCTCAGTTTCTTTCTTCTGTAATTACTAAAAACAACCATACCCTTAGAAAAAGTAACTGCAACTAAAACCGTATGGCTCTCCCCCTACAGGGTCTTGATGGGAACAATTTCATAAGTCTAAGTGAAGAGTATGGGTGGGAATTAACTTGTGTGTTTGCTTCTGCTTGTTGATTTTTTTTCAACTGCAAAATTTAGGGAAAATCAGTTTCAAGTAGGAGATTTGTGCTGCTTTTCTGACACACTGACTTCTTGTTTTGCCATTCAAAATTTTAGATAACCCTTTGTTTTGGCATTTGATGCTTCCATCACTAGCGAGGTTCCAGTGGAATGACATAGTGAAGATGTGGTCTTTCTGATAACCAATTATTGGGTTGGTGCTTTGTCTTTAGATTGATAAAACAATAAAGTATATATTTTGGAAATGAGATTTTTAAAGTAGTCAGGGAAAAATTTCAGAGTTGTAGTGGAGAAGAAAAAAGCCCACCCACTGTGTTTTACTTTTTGACTCCTTTTAAAGCTTTTTATTACAAAATATTGTAATGCTACCCAAAACATCATTACACAAAACAGAACTTCTCACATCTGTTCCAGATTAGCAGGATGTGTGTGATCTCCAAGTTAAAAAAAAAAAAAAACAAAAAAAAAACACCAAAAGAGAGTTTACATTCTTGAAGGATTAAACTAAATCAGTTCTTCTAAATGAAAAGGAATTTGTTTTTGTGTTTCTTCTTTGAAACTCACTCTTAAAATTGTATGAAATTGTGCACATGAGCAGAAAGCTATAAATGATAAGAAGAGATGGCACCATATTCCCTTACTGGAAATACGGGAGCAATCAGCCCAGCTTCCTTCATGAAAAAGAAAGTGTGATGAAGGAAATATGTTTGGGATAGAGCAGTTTGCTGCTGAGAAATGCTTATTTTTATCAGCTGTAGGACATGGTGGAGGAGAACAACCCCAGCTCTGCACTAGAGCACTGCCTCTTCTGACCACAGAGGACCAACCTGTGATAAGCTGTAACGAGCCGTGGGGAGACAGCTCAGTGTCCACCCCTCCTCTGTTGGTGCTTTTCACAGGTGGTTTTTG